AATAAATTATTTTTCAAATTTCAAGCCCTAATTGCATAAGAAATTATACTTATTAATGAGAGTGGTATTCTAGAAGGCATTTGGAATCTAAAATGGAAAGATTTTGTTCTGAATTTGTATATTTTTGAGCCTGGACTTCATGCTGATTTTTTTTCCCCTTAGTTTTTAAGTGTTGAAATTTAAGGAGGAGTCTGTAGTGCTACAGTCTGGTATTTCTTCAGTCACTGCAGTCAGCATCTGCAGTTCCTCAGGAGCAAACTGCCTGTAGCACTGACATTTCATCTTCTATTAAGTGCTGAGATCTACTTAGTGACATTTTTACTATACTAAGGGAATTTAGAAAAGACCTGCAAACACAATGTATGTGAGCCTTGCTCACAAATTATGATTTGTTAATTTAATTACAGGAAACACCATTAATATTTCAAAAATTATGTTTCAGTTTGGAAAACATTTGAGAATAAAATCTTGCTTGGCTCTCTTAAACACAAAGAGAAGGATGTGGAGTGATGGGATACTTCAAGAAAAAAATATAATAACAACAGAATCTTCTGGTTCTTTCAGTAGCAAGATACACACAGGGATAAAGTCAATTATTGCCAGTTAAATTGTTAGAGATAAAGAAACAAAGAATAGCAAAGCAAATTGACCAAGCAAAATAAATGATGCAGGAATTCTACCCAGGAGCTTCTGACCTGAATGTTTCCAAGCTGGTAAATTTTACAAAACCCAAAATTAAGATGTATAAAAGTAATTTTCATCAGAAATGAGGAAAGTAATGAACATTTTATTGTTTACTTGTTTACAATACATTACTATAAATTTGAGTTTCCTGAGTACTAATTCATGCACTGTGTGTCATTCTCACTGTTGATGGTTTCTTTGCTGTTTATTTCTAATTTTGCTGTACAACAGTTTTAAAAAGCTTTTTTACAGCTTGTTTTTAAATTATTTTAAAAATAAAATGACATTTTAAATGCTTTTCATATATTGAAGGATTTTTCTCTAAAAAAAGGTCTGATTATGAGAGTTGCTAATATTAAATTAAGCTGATGCTTTGTGTTCTTCTATGGAAGTTTTATTTTCCTTTACATAGAATATATAATGATTACATATCTGCAGAGTGGGCCCTTATATTCTTGATTTATAATTCCTTAATATACTCTGGGTCTAAGACAGATTCTTGAGCTAAAATAGTGTTATTTGCCACACAGAACTTGAACACTTTTTTCAGGGACAGATTCTTGATTCTGGTATTCAGTCAACCATCCCTCAGTTGAGAACAAGCAGAGGGAGAGGACTGAGCACCATATTTCACTTGCCAGCACAAGAAATGTCCTTGACACAGCTTTTCCCCCATTCATTTCTTTATTTCTTTTGTCATTGCCTGTTTTGGAGTTTTCTGTTCTCAGTAACGTTCCAGCTTCTGCATGAGCAGCAGTAATCTGCAGAATTAAATGGAAATTCTCTTTAGATTTGACTCTGTGTAGGAAGTACTGGGGTAGTAGTTCAGTAGAAATACGTGCTGTGAGCTGTGGATTGCAATTGAATTGGCAGTGAAAAATCAGTATTAAAGGTGTTTCTGCCCAGAGTCACCACTGAGGTGTTGGCAGGCGGGTGCTGACTCTTGCCAGTGAGTGAGGAAACTTTAGTGCCCAGTGGCTTGATTTTCCTTTGTGGCATCAAACCTCAATTCCTTTCTAACTTTGCTTTAAATTTTATTATGAGAGAACGAACTGGTGCCAGCTCTGTGCCAAAAATACTTTGAAGACAAAATGCATGAAAAACCCAACCAGCAGTTTTTGATAGTTTATCTGCAGAATATTTCTGGTAGGTGTCATTGATAGTGGGTGCTGTTGGTTAAGCATCTCTCATTTGGAACTAAGATGCAGAAACATTTTTGTTTCCTTTTCGTCATTAGAAAGAAGGAAGGAAATAATGAAAAATAATAAAAAAATTATCAAACCAAAGCCATCATAGTAAATATTTACTATTGAGTTTCCAGAAGGGAGCTCTGCCTTAAAAACAAAATTCCCCCAAAGTCCACAGGTTTCTGAATTTCAGATGTGTTCAACAGTTATCAATCAATAGGCTTCTTCTCCTGCCTGCCCTGAGAGCCTGCTGTGCTCCCTCCTTCCATCCTTTTGTTTCTTATGGATCATCTGCAGGCAGAATGATGTTCACAGGCACACCTGTGACATCACCTGACTCATTTTCAGTCTGCAGTGATGCAATGTGGAGAAATCTAAGAGATGCTATTGGGATTTGTAAGGGTGAAGAGAATCTGCAGGTCAGGCTGTGATTCCTGTAGGTTTGAAAAGGAGTCAGGATACAACGTTATTTAAATTGGGGGCTGTAGCATTTGGGCCATTCTCTGTAGGTGCTGTGGCAGAGAGTGGTAAACTATTTGAAATTTGTGGATTTATGAAAGTGTAGGATTTCTTTTTTTTCTATCATAGAGATAGAAAATCGATCTTTCATGTTATAGGTGAAGTAATTTTTGAGGTTTTTAAAGGAGATTGAATTTTCTTGTTGTTGAGGTTTTCTTAAAAATATTTTTTCTGTTCATATTACATAAATCCTTAGCAATAAAACTGTCTCTAACCACCTGAAGGTTCCAGAAAAGAATAAAATTCCTTCAGTCATGCTACACATCCATCTACAGTCCTGATGTTAAGTCTGCCTGATGTTTTTTCTTTGTTTGCACGTGCACATTCATAGGCTCCTGCAAATCATCATGGCCAGAGAAAGAACAGAGGTTTGGGTGTTCTGCAGTTCTCAGAATCTCTTGTCTCCTCAGTGTTTAATGTGCCCAGTTAGATCTTACATTTTGGGTGGGAAGGGATGTCCTGCTGCTGTCTGGATTAACAGAAGGTTGGGTTTCCTTTTCCCTGTTCTCTCCAGCAGAATTTGGGAAGACACAGCATATCAGCAGGATTTCTGCCACAAATTCCTCTCTGCAACAGGGACCAAGATTATGATGGTGCCCTTAAACTCTCCTGCTCATCAGTGGCACATAATGATTGTAATTTTAGCCTTTTTCCTGGAGGTTTTTCACTTGGTCTAGGATGGAAAAGAGTTTGAATTCAGGCAGTGATGTTCTGTGACCTTTCAAGTTGAGATCTGGGTGTGCTTACCTGTAATGACATGGGGCTGGGCCTGCTGAAGGAGCTTTGTGCCACAGTGTGGAGTGAACCATGGAGCTTTTCCCAGCAGGACACTCTGAGCATCACAGCAATCATACAGAACATGCACAGAGTTTTCACCATGCCCTAATTGAAATTGAAGTCCATTCTCACATGACATCCTAAGTCGTGTCAGATCCCTGTATTTACAGAGCCTGGCTCTGATTTTTATGAAATGGTCCAGCTGGTTAATTAAGATGAAGTATGCTTTGAATGAGTTTGTGCTTTTTTATTTTTGTGTTTAATATTGATTAGCTCTCCTGACATAACATAAACTTAAGTTCATTAACTACAAATTAGGAATTGACATAAACAGAGTAGACGGGTATGTCCAGAGTGCCCAGTGAAGGGTTTTATTTGTATTGTAAGGGGACTCTCATGAATTTTAATGAAACTAAATTAAGAATTAAAATTAGTCCACTTAAAAGGGAGTTGGAAATAGGCAGAACAGTTAAGTGCACACATGCAGCAGAACATTAAACTCTTGATTTTGGTATTCTATAAATCGCTGTGGTTATTTCAAGAAAATGATTCTCTCTGTTTCTTTTCCTTCAGCCAGACTTATAAACAGAATGGTACCAAACAGAAATGGGTTTTTTTCTAAGTTAGAAAATCCTTAGATTGTTCCTTAGAGCTCATGAAAAAAAATAACAGGTCTCATAATTTTTTTGTAAATCTTCAGTTGAAAGGCAAAGTGCTTTTACCTATCTGAGGCTTGATGGTGTCTGATAAATAGATTTCCTTTCCTGAATAAGTTCTTGACTTGAGGTATAGCATTTTCTGCCCTTTTTTATAAAGAATGAGCTAGAAGCCAAACAAAGGCGAAATTGGTGTTGTTTCTAAAGCCTTTTAAGAAGTGTCTGTCCTTCCAGATCCAGGCTTCAGCATTCTATGTGATGTCCATCTCAGGGTGGAGGGCTGGCACTGCCTCTGTCCTTGCTCTGAGATGTGGCACTAACAGCTGCCTGAGGACCAGAATAAAAACTGAGGGAAAAGAAAAAAATCCACTGACATTTCCCAAATTCTCACCTTGCTTCCAGCAAATCATATTTCAGGAACATAATGAAAGAAGAGGTGGTGAATAATCTCTTTGGATCAATCAAAGAGTTGTTCTGAGCTTGAACACTGATGATGATGTGGGGACTGTGCTGGGAAGCTTTTCTCCCATTGAAGGGAAAAACACAAAGCCCCAAATTTCCTCACAGAAGTAAAGGCTCAGTGCTGCTGAGAGCAATGAGTGCATAAGGCTCATGCTTAGAGAATCATCCTCATTTTTAATATTTACTAACCAGCCATTTCCTATAAAATGAACACAGAGATGAGGCTCATGCAATCAAGTGTTGTTCCAATCTGTTACTTCATGCACATGAGAGTAAGTTTGCAGTGACTTGTTGAGAGACCAGATTCTTTCAGCTCTTGTAATCTTTATCTGCCCCCAAACTTTGAAGCTTTTCCATTTGATTTTGCAGATAGCGAAGTGGTGAATATTTTTCAAGAGTATGAAAGAGTGCAACATTTAATAAACCCTAACTCTTTTAACAAACTTCATTTTTTCAATGTTGAGTGTGATATGGAGAAGAATTATGTAAAGGGAAGTCCAGCTGACTTTGTGCTGCAGTCTAGTTTTCAAAAGGATTAGGCAACTGTTTGCCTAAGCTGCAGTTATTTGTTAGATTGCCTTTTTTCCTGAGATAACAGAATGGATGGGTTAGGAAAGCAAATTTGCAAATCACTTCTGTGGCCTAATTGAATTGAACTTGTGAAATGCACAGTAGTGAAAAATAGCTAACAAGGAATTGACTTTTATTCCTCTAGACACTGGAAGCCATTTTGAATTTCAAGTACTCTGGGGGACCAGGACATGCAGAAGGATATTACAGGAACCTTGCCCTGGGTCTCCATGTGGAGGTGGAGCCCTCTGTTTTCTTCACTCGCATCAGCACCCTGCCAGCAACAAGGTGAGCCTTGCCCTGACTCTGCAAATCTCACTCATTGTCTCTGTTCTATCAAATATAACTTAAAGACCACATTGGAAACACTTTTGATATCATCAGCAACATGTAGGTCAAGAGTTACATGAAGAAATTGTAAAAATTGCTCATTTAGGAGTTATTGAAACAGTTCATGTGCATTCAACAGCTTCTGAGGTTCAGACGTTCTCTCATGATGATGTATTTTAGCAGGGACAGGATATCTCATGTTTATTGTACAATTTGATGACTTTTTTCTGTGTTTCTCATCAGTTGTGCTGTGTTGTGCATTATAGTTTGGTGTTTTTATAACAGAATCTTACTGAAAATGTACGTGTGAATAATGTGATGAATAAATTGTGACCAGACTCTCCTCTGGTGCTTGTTTTCTCCTGTAAACCACAGAGTAGTTTCACATGTCATAGTGAATATTAAAAATCAAGGCAACACTTGATGATGGTCAAATGCTGTGATCCTGAAAATCTGTTTGAGTAAAATTTATCAGCCACTGAATGCAGTTTTAATAATTAGTAGTATTTTTGTAAAAAACACTCTATGCACAGTGGGAGCAAGAATTTGGTTGAATTAAATTCTGATATTATTTCAGTGCAGTTATGTATGCAACACTAATAATAATAATAATAATAGTTGAGAGGGAACTTAATTGATCCAAGAGATTCCTACTGGGCCTGGGAGCCCTGGGACTTCACAAGTTTAAAGATGGGCAAGAAGGAAATGCCAGTCTAGGGGATACTGGGTGAATATTTAATTTTCAAAGGAAGGAACTGAGTCACCAGTATCATACCATGGCAGAAATGTCAAAGGATGGATGGACAGCCTGTGGCAGTAACATAGCCTGAAAAACAGGGCTGTGAGCAGAAGAATTGAAACATCAAGGAAACTTTGAGGCTTGAACATGAAGAAAAGTTGGAGGGTCTGGAGCAAGAAGAGTGATAAGATGGGATTTTTGTTCAAACATATGTTTAAAGCAACTTCTGTTCCTGCTGAAGGGAAGATGACTGACAAGGGAATGGAGTTTTTAATCATGACATGGCCAAGAGAGATGGGATTCTATTCTTCCCCACAGGTGATACAGCAAATAATGACCTTTGCAGATAGCAGGAGAATTTTAGGTTAGGCAAAACTACTGAAATCCTGCAATATTTTTTTAAGAAAATATTCAAAAATCAGACAAACAAGATTATTTTTAATGAGTAATTTGTGTCCAGCTCTTATAAAACCATATGGTTCTATTAGTAAGCAAGTTTCTTGAGCATTTTGCTGCTTGAAAGTGTAACATAACATGATTTTATTATTTTAGGAATTGCTCAAGTAAAGCAAATCTAATGCTGCTTGGCAAAGTCAGAACATGGTATCCAGAACAACTGTTTGCAAAATTCTGGGCCCCTTTTTAATGATGTTCAGCTTCATCCCTGCAGTGGCACATTCTTCAGCCTCTGTAAGGTTTTCAAGATTGAATAAGTGATCTCTCTTGAACAACCTGGAGGTACCACAGCATCAGCTAAAAATAGTTTTCAAAAAGACTCATTATACAGGTTAAAATAACCAGATTTCATTTACTATTCGAATACATAGTCCCCTCCCTTCGGTGTCAAGAAAGCTCTCCATACTCTCAAAATGTGTATTTTTAATGAACAGACTGCTCTGTGGTTCACTGCAATTCCTTATAGTTACAAGGTGGATTGTGTGTGAAGCTGCAAACCTTCCATGAAAGCTTCAAATTCAACCTGATGCTTTTATTTGACTGTCCCTTGTTGAGATGTTGGCTTTTTGTGCTTGGCTTCTCCAGCTGTGTTTTGTGTAGGCCAAGGTTATCCCACCCCTGCCTTGTCAATCTGCTCTCTGGAGTTCATGATGTGGGGCAAGCATTTAATCCTGAAATCTTTACAAAGAGATGGAGGTGCTAATTCAAAGGCAGAGTTTCAGTGTTAGCAGGGCACAGTTTCCCACGTTGTGTGGCAGCTGCTGCTATATTTAGTGGCTCCAGTTCAGCCAAGTGCTTCAGCTCACGTTGTGTGTGTTTGCTTCATCCTTTGCCTGCTCATCACACTGATCAGCAGTTAAGTCAGTGGAAACTTTCAGTGGTTTGCTGATTGGAGATGTAGTTAAAGATGTGGCTGCTTTTAAGGGTGCCTAAAAGCTTTACTGAGTTGGAGAAAAAGACTGTAATATTTACATTCCTCTCAGAAATGCTTTCTTGCCAGACCTGTCAAAAAGCTTTTTTTGGTTGTTACTTTAGGTATATATTGTTTGCTAAGTCATGAATGCATTTTGGTGTTCTTATCTCTTACTGCTTGTTCCATGTTATTGGCTTTAGTGATCTGTACACTGTTCCTTCAGTCTTGTGCATCCTTGTGCAGGTTCTCCATCAGAAGGAGAGTCATGGCATTTGATATTCTTATTTGGAGTGAAAAATGGCAGAAATGTGTATCCTAATCTGCTAAGGATAACTGTTCATCATACAGGAAACAAAGCTTGTTTTTTTTTTTACTGTTGATCATCCCTGCCAATATCTGAGACACAATGGCACTAAATTAAAAGTTTGGGTTTTTTTTTTTACTTTTACTTGCTCTGGTAAAAACTCAAATCTGATTTCCTTTTGGTTTACATCTGAGACTTCATTGCTTAAGTACTATCTGAGGTGCTGAGCTATTTTTGTTCAGCCATTACAAGAAATTGTATTTTATAATTTACCTCCTTAGCTATCATTTCAGAATGGAAGTTATCATTGCTTTCATTATCTGGATTAAATTTTTTCATTTTCTTTTTCATTTTATTGTTTTTATTTTACATTTTTGCTTCCACAAAAGTAAGAAACATTAGTTTACTAACTCCTGGGTTTAAAAAGTCAAAGCAAACTAAAAAACCATTGAGCATTGATTCTTCCCTTAGGCCTTTAGTGAAAAAACTTCGGGAAAAAAATGTTAATGAAAACACTTCACCCTCCTGCATTGTAACATAAAGATTATGGTTTATGTAAAAGTCTTCCAAACTTAATTGGTATTTCTTCTATTTAGCTGCTTGAGCAGAAATGCATGGGAAATATCACTGAAGCAACTGGGGATTTGGGCTTGGGTTTTGTTTTTTTCCACTCATGCACAAGCTCCTGCCTTGTGGGGAGAAGCTCCATTAACCACATCTCAAATATATCTTCAGTTGTTTCGTCACGACCACAGATCCTTTTAACCTTTGTTCTGGTCTGTGGGGTGTTGAGATGGGGTGGATACAGCCCTTGCCATGCTGCAGTGCCTCATCTGCTGCCTGATTCTGGTTCAGATCTTCCCACCCCAAATTCTGGTTCAAATCTCTGCTCTCCCCATCCCCAATTCTGTTTCAGATCTCTGCTCTTCCAAACACCAGTTCTAGTTCAGATCTGTGCTCTCCTCATCCCCAAATTCTCGTTCAGATCTGTGCTCTCCTCATCCCCAATTTTGGTTCAGATCTCTGCCCTCCCCACTCCAAATTCTGGTTCAAATCTCTGCCAAATTCTGGTTCAGATCTCTGCTCTTCCAAACCCCAATTCTAGTTCAGATCTGTGATCTCCTCATCCCCAATTTTGGTTCAGATCTCTGCCCTCCCCACTCCAAATTCTGGTTCAGATCTCTGCTCTTCCCAACCCCAGTTCATCTCTCCTGTTGGGACAGAGGATGTTCTGTCACTGAAGGGTCTCATCTGCTCCCAGGTCCTTCCCTGGGTGTCACCCTGTGCTCCCTCAGCTTCCTGCATCCAAAGGGGCTGGCAGAGCAGCCTTGTGCAGGGAAATATTCCCTCTGATCATGTTCCCTGTGACCCTTGGCTCTGCCTGTTGGTGTGTGCAGGGAGGGGACTGGCCCAGGATCCATCATCCAGAATGAAGCAGCCCTGGAATGGGGTATAAGAGAGAAGGAATTAATGCTGAAAGTTCTCCCACTCTGTCCTGCAACTCAATGAAATCATGAAGGGCTTCAGGGATCTACTTTTTTAACCACTTATTTGCCATAAAATAAAGCTACATCTGTATAGTAAAATGTTACTAATTGTCTTCTGCAATTGGCCTTGCCATGTTAATTGTTTCCATGCCAGGGCTTAGCCCCAAACACTGCTGTGCTTCCAGAGTGCAGTTCCCAGCAGGTTCCAGGATACCAGTGGGGATCCCATGATCTGATCCTGGACTGCCAGTGGAGATGGATTGCAAATGGTTCAATGGAAGGAAACATTCTCTTGATAGTTTTGTGGATTCTCCTCCTTTGATATCTTGTTAGCTCTAAGCAAGTCTGCTGTTGAAACTTATCTAGGTTGTCTTGAACAATCTTCTTTATACCTGTTGTTTCTCTCAGATGTGTTATCTGCCAGTTTTCACAGGCACTGAATGTCCTTCCTTATTGCCTTTATAAAACAGCATGTAAAAATGCCAGAAAAAACACTGCAGGTCTGACAAGAATTCAGGTAAGGTGCTCTGCATGCAGTGAGGGGCCTGCTGGACTCCTTGTGTCCCTTGCCACTGTGCCATCAGTACAAAAGTCTTAAATAAAAGCCTACAAAGGTCAGAAAATGTTGATCTTGCTTATTACAAATGTGGGGAGACAGTCTGAATTTATAGATGAAGTCAGTCTTCAGGGATGGTGCCTTCACTTTTAAGCAAAGTTGGGAATCCAGATATGTGATAATATTCTTACCTGTAAATTCTACAAATTCAAGATTATAAGGTAATTTTTTAATCTTCAGATTTTTTTGTGGGGCAGAATACTTTCCTTTCTATCTTAAAACCACCATACAGCTGCTGAGACATCAGCTGCAGATTTCTTCTGGCAAGTGCTGAGCCTTAGACTCTGTTTTCAGAGGAAAAAAAGGAATGGTAGCAGGTCTGACACTGTTAAATTCAAAGTTCATCTAACTGTAGGTTCAAGGTAATTTTCCTTTGTATCATTAATGTACATTCTCAAATGAAATGATTTGGTTTTGTCCAGAAGGCAGCAATTCATAGCAGA